GTTAAATATCCTCAAATCTTGGTTTGATGTAAATAAACTATCACTGATAATAAAAAAGACAAAATTTATGAATTTTGGAAATAAGGTAAAAAATGGGGACTTTAAATTAACAATTTCAGATACTGAAATTGAAAGTGTCTGAAATAAAATTTCTTGGTGTTGTGATTGACTCTAACTTATCTTGGAAGCATCATTTAAATTATATAAAAGGAAAAATTGCCAAATCTTTGGGTCTATTATATAAGCTGAAGGACATACTAAACCATAAGGCCTTACGTCTAATATACTCTTCACTAATACAACCATACATGGCATATTGTATAGAAATATGGGGTTCAACTTTTAAAACATATATACGTGAAATAAAAACTATACAAAAGAAATCTATTCGAGTTATAAACAAGAGCAATTAATATGCTCATACTGACCCGTTGTTTTTAAAATCACAGATTATGAAATTAGAAGATCTATATTATTATAAAATAATGCAATTTATGTTTAGAGTAAAATTAATGGCTCTGCCAGAAAATATACTAATGTTTTTTGCAAAGAGGGAAAGTAAATATGATTTAAGAGGTGTAAGTATGTTTGTTCTACAAAAAGCCAAAAAGGGGCATGAAAAGGAGATGTATCTCTGTAATGGGAGTAACATTTTGGAATGAGGCTAAAATAGAATTAAAATGAGCAACTTCTCTTTCAGTTCTTAAAAAACTTGTCAGTAAAAATATTTTTGAAGAGTATTAATTTGATGTTGATGGATGGATTTGTGTTTTATTTTTATTTGGGTTGTTGGTTCATTGCGGGAAATTGAAAAATAGTTTTGTAAGTAGGTTAGGCAATTTTATAAGCTATTGCTTCTGCCTAAACCTATTCATTCATGAGATATCAAATAGACACCATATACAAATGAATGTATATCTTAGTGAGAAATGGTATTTGTATCTATTTGTATGACATGTTATTGTACACATTATCTTAAGATAATAAATTAATCATTCATTCATTCATTCATTTAAAACTGTCATGAGAGTTTGCAGCCCTGAGGACGTGTGCCGTAGAAGAGGATGTGTGCCGTAGATGAACACGTGTGCCATAGAGGACCCTGAACCATGTTTGGGGACAAGAATGTTTAAATTTAGTTTTGTTAAAGGGTGTATATGGAACAAGCATTAACTCCTCTGCCACCTATAGTGTAGGGATGGAACGATAGCACTTTTTTACAAACCCATACGATACCGATACTTGGATCTGAGTACTCACCGATACCGATTACCAAAACCGATACTTCTACCACACAAAAAAATGCAATGATTTGGAATGCAGGTTTTATTTTCTTCTCTGCTTTCAACAGGAAAAGACTGGGAGGAAGATAAAAAGTAAAATACATGAATGGAAATCATCACAAAACTAAAATATTAGGTGAACAGAAATGACAAGTTACAGGGAGGCCATTTTCAAGCAACTGCATTGGTATCGGTTCCTGGTATCGGTTAACCTTTACCAATACTGGTACTGGTATCGGTATCGGTGCATCCCTACTATAGTGCTGCCATGATTAGTGCATTTGTCACAATGACAACAACAATAGGTGCAATATTCAACGTTGTTTCTTCTATGAAGCTTTGTTTTGTTTTATCTTGCCTGCTGTGGCACCACTGCTGTTTTAGCCTGAGACATATGAACAGTAGTGTCCATTCGAGTCAGTCGACACGTCACCTGAAAAACAAGACATCATGGCGAGCTGTAGCTCAAACGTTTGGGAGCGTTTTACAGAAAGATGAGAGAAGCCAAATCTGCTCCTCTCGTGGGGGCACAGCGGTGATGCATGAACACCTTTAAAGACGGACGTTGTGGTGGAGAAGACATTCTCCTCTGTAAGCTAGCTGCCTCTCGTTAGCTGCTAACATCAACAGGGAGTTACCTTTATTTATTGCAGTAGCAACAACTGTAGTGATGGCCATTTCATTACCTTTAGCACACGTATGTCACATATTTGCTTCAATGTTACAAACAATAACTGTGTTAATAATAGGGCTGCAACAAACGATTATTTGGATAATCGATTAATCGGATGGGGTCTCGACACGATTAATCGATTAATCGGATTACATGGGGAAATTTTTAAAAACTGCTAGGGAAACGTTATTTCTCTCCTTCCTTCACTTTATTTAACACAACATTATTAGAAAACAGTTCAATAGCAAAAAAACAACATGCCATCACCTAAATTGTCTTATAAGGTGTATAGACAGAGACCCTAAGCTACATCTATCTGTGACCTAAAATGCTTGGTCCAAGTTAAACAGCTTAAGGGCAATTCTCATCTGTTTTGTTTGATCTCATCTGTTGACATTTATTTTAAATGTAATTAAACATAGGCTGTGAATTAATCAAAATTGATCACTATTTCCAAAAATGACTGAAAAAATACCAAATAAAACAAAAGTAAATGAATGCCATTCTCCTTGCGATGATGCCCTGGGCAACTGCCATAAAGTCACATCAAGAAATGCTGCTGATCATTCCAATGATCCCAAATAGACTCACATTAGGCCACATGAAAGCAACTGAACCCAAAAATATATTAACCAGTATATAACTGCACTCTCACACAGCACGCCTGCAGCAACAGTTAGGACTCCTCCCTCCCTTTTAAAAGCGTTTTTGCTTCCGAGGACATTGTGGTTGTAAAACCACATGCTAGTAGTCTGGCCCCGGTGTGATCAACCAGTTTCTGCGGGAATGTGACGGCGGAACCAGGGCCAGATTAACACTTTGTTGTACCCTGGGCAACAATATTCAAGGGCTCCATCATCACGACCCGAGGATCACCATAATGTGGTCACATACAGAATATTTTACTGTAATATGCAGTAAATATACTCAATACTTGAATGCCTGACAACACGTAACCCGCCCAGAGTAACCTTTGACCCACCTCGTGTGGACTGACCAATGAGGAGAGGGTCTTAACTTGAGGCCCTCTCTTCATTGGTCAGTCTGCATGAGACTGACTCTCAACTGACATTCGAAGTCATAGGCAGCAAAGCGTCTCTGTGCAGCGCAAAAGCCCGGGTGGATAGTTTGTTTAATGTAGGGTGACCATATTTCCATTTCCAAACAAGAGGACAGGGGATCTGTGCCTATGATGTCACACTATGGCAACACCACACAAACCATGTTGGGACCCATTTTTTGTAAGAACTAAATTAATATCAGATTCTGCCAATAAAAGGGCTCTAAAACAATTCATATGTAAATATTTTGCATATTTAATGCAAAATCTCATTTTTATGCTTTAGTGCTGCAACAAGGTTTTATTAATAATAAATTATTATACCTTTTGTTTTACTACAGCATCGGTACGCTTCCTGTGCACAGATTATTAAGGATGCTTGTTTCAGCTGTGAGATTAGACGATAGGATCAATGATAAAATAAGTTGTCACACACTCCATGGAAACTTTCAGATAATCCACAAATAGTGGCTTTCAAATGGTTTTGTTACTTTTTGCAAGTTTAGAAAAGAAGCAGATGAGACAGCATGTCTTATAATTTAGTTTTTCATCTGATATATTAGAACATGTCAGTAATGTCTGAGGGGCTTTTACAAACACTGTATAACTAACACTCCTGGAGAGGGCATGAATTACACAGAGGCTTCTGGGGAGCCCAGTTATGGGGGGGGGGGGGGGGGGACATTTTGCCTTGGCCCCCAAAATGTCTTGAAACGGCCCTGGGTGTGTGACTGAGTTTTGAAGGTGATCTGAATTGTATCAGATGTATAACTATGACATGTGTATAACTTATTGTTTTTTACTGGTAAAAACGTGTAGTGGAGATAAATCTACCTACATTTTACTTTGTTTTCTTGTTTTTATTTAACTATTTTCCTGTCCTGTCGGTCTCTCATCTTCCTGCATCTCCTCATAATTCTCCAGAAAATCTGTTGCCTGGATTCTTACTTTTTCACCTCATCAGTTACTTTTGAGCAGATCAAAGAGATCTCCTGACCGCAAAGCGGAGAGCGCGTTTTCGATGCTGCGTGAGGTGAAATCACCACAGCACAGGTGATGAGCTCCGCAGCAGAGCGCCAGGCACAAATAAGACAGAAAATAGAGAACATGTGCAGACAAGAACGATCGTGTGCTAATTATAGTTTTTTGGTTGCGCCACTTTGAGAATGGACCGTGCGATGGAAGCAGCTGCCTGGATCGCTGTGCAACAATGCGGAACCGGTTCGCAGCAGCGCAAGTCTGCAGGCTCTCCCTCGCGCTGATCTGCGGCTCTCCCTCGCGCTGATCTGCGGCTCTCCCTCGCGCTGATCTGACTTGCTCTGGTCTGCGCGCAACGGTGGGCGGGAGAGGGGGGGGGGGGGGGGCGCTTTTGGAAGAGTTGTGCGACACAACGAATCGATGACGCAATTCGTTGCCAACGCTTTTAGTAATCGATTTTCATCGAATTCATCGATTCGTTGTTGCAGCCCTAGTTAATAAAAACGCTCCTCGTCAATAAAAGCCAGCACACACGCCTCTGAGCAAACAATCTGACATGAGACCCCTGTTGTTTAAGGAGCTATAATCTTGTCTTTATTTTTAGACGGTACATAACCGATCACACTTCAGACAAGAAGCTAATGATGGTAGATTAGAGCATCCTGGTGCATTAAGCTAAAGTTTTATGTACAACACGATAAGTCGACTATTGAAATAATTGTTTGTGGCAGTCCTAGTCACCCGTAGTTTGGCCGTGTTGTCGCACCTGAGGCTAGTTGTTTTTGCAGAAACACAGTTTCTGAACAGCTTGCACATCCTCTGATGCTCGACCAGGGTTGGGCCTATTACCTGTGACGGGAGCAGGATCATGTAACTATAGTAACCTACCCATCAGAGGCGTGAGGTCAGGGAACCCATCAGTGTTGCAGTTCATCTTGTAGATGACTATGATGAGCATGGCATTTGCTGGGAGTGGGGGAGACTGATGGTTGAATCTGTCACACAGGGTTGGAGAATGATGACAGTGCTGTTCAGTACGCCATCGGACGCTCGGACACAGTGGCGCCTGGTGTTGGCATCGATTTAGAGTTTGATGCAGACGTCCAGACCATGTCCCCTGAGGCCTCTGAGTACGAGACCTGCTACGTCACGTCTCACAAGGGCCCTTGCCGTGTAGCCACGTATAGTCGGGACGGTCAGCTCATTGCCACCGGCTCAGCGGATGCCTCCATCAAGATCCTGGATACTGAACGCATGCTGGCAAAGAGCGCCATGCCTATTGAGGTGAGTGAGGTGGCAGAGTAAAGGTGCACTCGCTACTTTTGATTAATTCTACTGAAATCTTTTGATTTTCCTCTCCGTTCTAGGTGATGATGAATGAAACTGCACAGCAGAATATGGAGAATCACCCTGTCATTCGCACACTATATGACCACGTTGATGAAGTCACCTGCCTCTCCTTCCATCCCACGGAGCAGATTCTGGCATCTGGCTCAAGAGATTACACCCTGAAACTGTTTGACTACTCAAAGCCTTCAGCAAAAAGGGCTTTTAAGTATATTCAGGTCAGTAGCTCTGGGCTCAGGACAGTATCCGCCGACAGGTGAAGCTGAAGTCAGTGGTACCTAAAAGCTGGGTTAAAGCACCTACACAAGAACAGTCAAGGGTCAAACAATCAGTGGTCAACCTTATCAGTGAGTTTCTGACTCCTCCCAGATGTCTCAGGTCTTCTAATCAGAGACCCGTAGTAGTAGGTTGTTCTGGTCCAGCAGGTTCTGACCCACCAAGGGATGGGTGGCTCAGTGTCAACGTGTCTGATGGGCTTGACTCCTTCAGTCAGAAAACCTTTGTGGAGGTAAATCAGTGTATACACACAGGAAATCAAAGGTTTGGCTACATTTCATGAGTTTGCAACAAATCCACATTCAAGCCTGTTTTATGCAGTCAAATCAGTTGTAATAAAATGTGACTCTTCTTATTATGGAAAGCCAAGCAGATCCAAACTGCTGCAGGGGTGTGAGTAGGGCTGAACGATTTTAGGAAAAGATTGAATTGTGATTTTTGTTCTTTTTTAGCAGTAATTGCAATTTCAGTTCAATTACAACACTGGCCTGCCGAGCCATCCTGTATATCAAAAGGTGGTCTAGGTTCTAGTCTAGTAAACAATTCGTTCACATTAATATTTACTGTCTAATCATACAATAAAAACAGTTAAAGCTATTAATATGTTCTCCCATTATTATATTTATATCTTTAATTTTTTAATGTGCTTGTGAAGCAACTTGTGATTTGTATCTAGAGAGGTGCTTTATAATGTGTTCTTGTTCTACTTGGAAAATGAAAGGAGGAAATCTGAAGGTAGAAACAGCTTTCAGATGTATTAAATAAAACATGCACACAGTTCTCGCTGCATCACCAAGTCAGGCTGGCTGCACCAACCCTAACCCTCACTAAAACTCCGCTCTAAAGCCTAGTTTATGCTGCTCAGCTCCGTGAGCGAGGCGCTCTGACACCGTAGCCTGGTTGAACTAACGTGTGCCATCAGAAACATTCAAACCATTTTAAAAGAGAAGTTAAACTTTCAAGTCAACTAAAGTGCACGACTCTGCACTCGCACTGATGAAGCATAAACCAAGCTTTAGAAATCAGTCTGAACCTGCTCCGATGTGGGAGGAGTCTCTCTCTCCCTCACTCACCCACCCACGGTGCCATTATTATCGGCTCTAGCAGCGCTGTGTGGGAAAATAAAACCGGGAAAATAACCTAAATGTGCAGCTCTGTCAGCTGTGGAGTTGGGCTCGGATCTGGATGGTACACCCCACCCCCTACCTCGTGCTGGCTGTTGCCGCCGCCGTAACACGGGGTGACCCCGGACGGATGTAAAAAAAAAAAAAAAAAGAAAAAAAGTTGACACAACAGATCCTGGATCAGTCAGAACCGCTAAAAAAAATGCAGCTTTGACGGTCCAAGGACGATAGATTGTTCAGCCCTAGTTGTGAGTTAGGATTTAGGTGTAATATCTCTTCACTGTGAGAATCAGAGCTTTTAGTTGTCAGGCTCCACTTTAGTGGAACCAGCTTCAGTATCAGGGTCAGCCTGGGTCATCCTGCCTATGGATCGAAGGTCATGCTAGGGTCTAGGGCCCTGGAGCCGGAGGAGAGGGGAACGAGAGACTAATGCAGAATGGCTGGGCCATCATAGATGTCCAGACCAGGAACAGATGTTACAAAGGCACAAACCTGTTGTTTTAAATGAGCTGATTATTATTCATCAGTTCATTCCTGTTTGTCTGCCTGCAGGAAGCAGAGATGCTGCGTTCCATCTCCTTCCACCCCTCTGGGGACTTTCTGCTGGTGGGAACACAGCACCCCACCCTGCGTCTCTATGATGTCAACACCTTTCAGTGCTTTGTGTCCTGCAACCCGCTGGACCAGCACACAGACACCATCAGTGGTGTCGGCTACAACCCCTCTGCCAACACCTACGTCAGCTGCAGCAAAGACGGCAGCATCAAACTGTGGGATGGTGTCTCCAACCGGTGTGTGACCACCTTTGAAAAGGCGCATGATGGAGCCGAGGTGTGCTCTGCCATCTTCTCCAAGAATTCCAAGTACATCCTGTCCAGTGGGAAGGACTCTGTGGTCAAACTGTGGGAGATCTCAACAGGCCGTACCCTGGTCAAGTACACAGGTATGGACGATGAGCTTCATGCAGGCCCTGATGGCCACCATCATAGCTAGTCCATATGTTAGTCCACTCATGGTCATGAATTTAGCTGTTTTAATTATACAGATGTTTTTACTCAACAGTTTCTGTCTGAGTTGCAGGTACAAGTTCACAGCTGTAGGTGTTGGTAACTAAAGGAATAACATTTAAATCCAGGGAACGAGTTACACAGAGGCTTCTGGGGGAGCCCAGTGACACTGGGGGGTGCCTTGGCCCCCGAAATGCCTTGAAACGGCCCTGGGTGTGGGGCTGAGTTTTGAAAGTGATCTGAATTGTATCAGATGCATAAATATCACTAGCTTATAAATTGCTTTAGACAGCCAGCTAAAATGTGTAGTGGGATAAATCTACATTTTCCTTTTCAAACACCTGAGCCCCCTTCAGACAGGCCACTAAACATCAAAACAGTTTAGTTTTGCAGGATCTCCCCCAGCGCTTTATAAGCCTGGCCACCCGCCAGGCTAAGCGTCATGCCCCGCCCCCTCCCAGACCCTATCGTGTCCGCTGACATGAATGGCGCAACGAAACTAGAGCCCTCCATCAGCTGATACTGGTGAGAAACAGCAGCTGAACGCGTGCAACCCCCCTCACCCCCACTCACACGGAGGAGCACTGCGGGAAGGAGCGCGAGACTCATGACAGCTTCTCATTATTTTAGCTTGCGAAACGTGATGCTTAAAAGTCACATGACACATTGCTTTTACTGATCCAATCAGAACCTTCCAGATCTGACGGAGGCGTGGTTTTGGTGGTGCTTGGTAAACCTGTCCTTTTTTGTTTTGACCGTAAATCAAAACATCCAAATTATAAAACTATGCCCACGTCATCTTTAACGCCAGTTCAAAGCGTTCTAGAGAAGTTGTCGGAGTGGCCAATCCGTAACTTTCCTCTTCAGCCGAAAGAACCAACGACAAGCTGGATAAAATCTGTTGCTGTTCCAACTGCTGCAACGGTTCCTTTCAGAATAAAAGCTGAACCATCACAACCCCGTTTTGGGTCTTGTTAGATGCCAACAAAACTGTCGTGACCCGGAAGTATCTCAAAGACTGGTCTGGTCAGCAACCGCTGCTTTGTCTACCGACTTCGGTTCCAGAGAAGGTCAAGCAGGACCTCGACATTCCTGATCTAACGGGGACTTCCGAAAGGGTATGTAGGCCGGCGGAATGGCGTCTCTGTGTGTTATAAATCTCCATACCCAAAGCCTAGCGCGAAACATCATCTTCACTCCCATCGGAACTAATCGTTTCTCCGGATTTGCTGGTTCTGAACAACATTTCACACATACACCATCTTCAGTCCTACGTCACCTTAGTTACACCATACATTTAGTGTTTAAAGTTAGTCTGGTTTTAATTTGTTTAGTAATAAATCTTTAAACTTTTAAAACTTGACTCTTCTGTTGTCTCTGAGTTTATACAAAGGTGTTACATAATCCCTGCAATAAAAAGTTCCAATCTTCTGGTTTAAATTATCCATAAGATTGATTTCATATTTCCTATGGAATCTCACATTTTATGGTTCATTAAATAATATGTAAATTTAATCGTTACATTTATGACATCAGTACCATGGAAAATGATCTTAACTCCTAAATACCGTGGTGACAGGGACTTTTGCTGGTTACCTAATTTCAGAGTGGCACTAAATGAGTGCAGGAAGCATCATTATCTGAGCTATGTTCAGTGGTTTTAGAAAAAATGGCCCTTATTTCAGGGTATCTGCGGGTCCTTAAAAAGTCTTAAATAAGCTTTTTTTCAAATTTAAGGCCTTAAAAATCCTTAAAAATGACAAATAGTCCTTAAATACGGTTTCCAGAGGTCTTAAATTACCGAAGACCCAATAAACAAGATTCTTTTATTTCTATAAAATTTTTGTGAATTTCAGCATTTTTTGTGTACGATGTTGGCGTAAGCGGAACCGTACACGTTCAGTTGGTTGTGAAAGGGGGCTATTTTTAGATGAGCACATTAGCTGGTTAGGCTAGTGGGAGCTTGCGCCATGGGGAAGTGCAAGTTTAATGCTAACTAGATGGCTAATCCCACGATCGCGGCGTGGTTCCACCGGTTCCAGGCAATAGCTGGAAATTATAGCTTAAATTTAATTTTTTAAAATGATAAATGACCCATACTTGGATAGCGCCTGTCAGAGTAAGGACTCCAAAGCGCTTTACACTGCAGTGTATCATTGATCCATTCACACACACATTCACACGCTGATGGTGATGAGCTACAATAGAGCCACAGCTGCCCTGGGGCGCACTGACAGGCGAGGCTGTCGAGCACAGGCGCCACCGGTCCCTCCGACTAGTTAAGTGTCTTGCCCAAGGACACAACAGCAGAATTCTCTGTCCGGAGCCGGGATCGAACCTGCAACCTTCCGATTACTGGACAACCCGCTCAACCTGTTGAGCTACTGCTGCCTTGCTTAAATAGCTTAAATTTGGTCAAAGTGGCCTTAAAAAAGGTCTTAAAAAGTCTTAAATTTGGCTCCCTTAAACCTGCAGATAGCCTGTATTTACACCTGGCAGCAACATGTATGATTGTTTTCATCCAGAAACTGTTCTAGAGTCAGATGTGAGTCTTTCAGTTTGACAGCTGAAGCTTTGTCCAAACAGGGTCAATGAGCCAAACACAGCAGCAGAACTCAAACGTCCATTTTCCTTTCCCTTATCCGGTCCCAGACTTCCCTCTCCCTAGACACTTGGGCCAGCTCCTCCAGGGGAATCCCAAAGCCAGCCGAGACATATAGTCCCTCCAGCATGTCCTGGGTCTTTCCCCTGACCCGGAGAAGCCACTACGCTTTTCCGATTTAAGACCATGGTCTCAGATTTATTTAGAGGAGCTGATTCTCATCCCGTCTGCTTCACACTCGGCTATGAACCGCTCCAGTGAGAGTCGGAGATCAACTTCTGATGGAGCCAACAGGATCGCATCATCTGCAAGATAATGAAGCAGAGACCCGATCTCTAGACCACCAAAACAGATCCCCTCAACACCTTGGCTGCGCCTAGAAGCCCTGTCCATAAAAGTTGTGTGAACAGAATTGGTGACAAAGGGCAGCCTTGGTGGACTCCAACTCTCACGAGCATGACTTGCTGCCGGTGTCGGTACAAGATCTGCTCGGGTGCAAGATCGGCTCGGGGTCCTTCGACTGCCGATGACGTCAAAGTACGGCAAATCGACTCGGACAAAATACACTACACATGTATACTGTTGGAAAGAATTTAGCAGTTTCGTTATTAAAATAATGTTTCTTAAGACGTAAGTTTGTGTTTATAATGATATTTGTAAAATAAAACACTTTATTTATTCATAATGTTGAACTCCTCTTTGAGCACATCCCTTGAAGAATCATAGGTATTAGCAACACCTGTGGAATTGTATTTGCAGGAAAGAAGTGTGTCCCGTTTATTGAAGTATTTTGTGTTTAGAGTTTTTGACGTCTTGTCCATGCGTAGTTCAGTTACGCTCATAGCTGCTAGCCAAAACTCTGGAGTTAAAAGTTTTCTGGCTTTACTAAAATACCTGTCTGTACTTATTTGATTGATGGTATTTTTACTTTCTATTAGACTCCAAATGTAATCATTTGGCACGTTTCTAATTCATTATTTGCAATAATGTAATCGGCGATATTAGCATTAGCATTCCTATGGGTTTTTCCATGTATATTAGCATTGCGCTAACCACTCGCTGCCAAATTGCAGCCTTTGAGATTAGAAAATCTCCTGGCTTTCCTAAAATATCTGTCTGTACTTATTTGATTGATGGTATTTTTACTTTCTATTAGACTCCAAATGTAATCATTTGGCACGTTTCTATTTCATAATTTGTAAGAATGTAATCAGCGATATTAGCATTAGCATTCCTATGGGTTTTCCCATGTATATTAGCATTGCGCTAACCACTCGCTGCCAAATTGCAGCCTTTGAGATTAGAAAATCTCCTTTTGTCACATCGCAATTTAATTGCACATGCAGTTAATCGTTCAGCCCTAATATACATGCAGCTCTATGCTAAAAGTGTATTTTCAAAGAGGTAATGATGGATTTCTTTGTAAAAGTTGTCCATCTTTCCAATAGACAGATTTGCCTGGACCAACGTAACGTGATAACAACGTAACGTGATTACGTAATTCAGTGAGGTTCATGTTCAGCCAATCAACTACTTAGACGTCATCGGCAGTCGACGGACCCCGAGCCGATCTTGCACCCGAGCAGATCCTGTACCGACACCGGCAGTGCAGACCGAGCTCTGACACCGGTCATTCAGGGACGTATCATCCCATGTCAGACGGACTGGTATCCCATACTCCCGAAGTACCCTCCAAAGGGCCCCCAAGAGAAGTTAGATTGTCAAAAGTGGACCACAATGTTACCTCTGCTACACGTAGATCTATGTTGAAAACGCTTCTTCTGCCTTAAGACTTCATTTTGTAAGTAAATAACTGGCTAATTTGTGTATTTTGTGGTTTTTGTATATTTAAAGAGCAAATCCCGTAATCCTGATCTGTAAACAAAGACGAACCTGCCGCTCCTGTGATGGAACTAAGTATCTGCACCTTGTGTTACAGGTGCTGGTCTGAGCGGTCGTCAGATGCATCGCACACAGGGTGTGTTCAACCACACGGAGGACTATGTGCTGCTGCCTGATGAACGCACCATCAGCCTCTGCTGCTGGGACTCGAGGACAGCTGAAAGGAAGAACCTGCTGTCTCTGGGTCACAACAACATCGTCCGCTGTATTGTCCACTCGCCCACTAACCCAGGCTTTATGACCTGCAGCGATGACTTCAGGGCCCGCTTCTGGTACCGCCGCACCACCACAGACTGAGTGCTCGGACTCCACCGAGGGAGGGAGTCACTCAGCAGCAGTTGGAGTTCATTTGAAAGCAAATCTTTAATTTGTGGAACAATTCTAAATTCTGGTGGCAGAAGAGCTGACGGACAACCTGCAGAGATGTTAGACTTCTTGTGAGTGGACCTGCCAACGTCGGAGGATCACACTTTCAGTTAACACAAAACCAATCTCCTCTCCCACCTGTAACACCAGCTGTACCCCTACATGTTTGGTTTTTGTAGATTTGCTTTGCTGTCGTCTTTTTCAATAAAAAGCTAAAAGGAAGAATCTGATGGTGAAGTCTCCTTTTGCAACTACAGCTGCAGCCGTGCCCTGCAGATTCTTCAGCGCCAGGCTTGTTGCTGCAGAAAGAGACAACCTACAGGAAGCTGACATGAGCTAACACACACACACACACACACACACACACACACACACACACACACACACACACACACGTGGTTTCCTCTCAACTGGTTTTCATCCTTCAGCTGGAAGATCTTACCTCCCATCACCCCTTTACATTCCTACCCCCTACCAGTTTTCCCAAACACTCATATCCCTGTTGTCCCGGCAGCAGTAAGGAAACCCAGAAGAATTTCTGCTCTGAAGAACCCTCTGGCCTTTCCTTCTGCAAGGAACAGCCTAATGAAGTCGTCACACACCAGCCGGAATCTGACACAAGAAGCAACGTTGATAGTGACTATGGTGATACTACTTCTCCTTTACTGGGTTGGGGTAGACGGTGTGTGTGTGTGTGTGTGTGTGTGGGGGGGGGGGGGGGTGAAGGGAAGCAGCTGTGTGGCTCTCCGCCCACAGAGTAGAAGAGCCAGGCTGTCAGTGACAGCTCAGACCGAGTGCTAGAGGGACATGGGAGTCTTCGCACGACAGCTCAGACCGAGTGCTAGAGGGACATGGGAGTCTTCGCACGCTGTCCTGTTTAAGGTGGTTTACTGAGACAGGACGGTGGACGGACTTCTCTGAGGAGACAACATCCCAGCAGCCATGGTAGGAAACATCCTAACTCCCCTTGAATGAGCGGTATGTTCGGATGGATGTCTGGCTCGTCTCGTCTTACTGATCGTCAGCGTTGGGATCTCAGTAGGATATGTTGCTGTTGTTTCTTTTCACACGCTCATTTAGCTGGTCCCAGTTCGGTTTGAGTGGACACGAATGTTGCTAAAGATGTTTCGGTGATCAGATTAGTGAACATTCATGGATGTGTGTGTGTGCATGTGTGTTTGTCTGGGTTAGGGTTAGGGTCTGATGCGAGGTTTCACAGCTCACCAGGCCAGTAGGTGTTCGTTCTCCCATGATCATCAGGTAAATGTCTTCCAGGGCGCTTCATTCTCTAAGGGAAACTGATCGTCAACTATTTAGTTAAAAATACACCAGCCTGGGTAAAGATAATTCAACCACTCCAACTTCTGCCTTCTGGGGGGGGGGGGGGGGGGGGGGGGGAGGGGGGGCAACAGTGTTGGCAATAAAACCGAACACATGCAGAAACAGAACAGCTGTTAACTCAGCCCACGATGTCTCTTTAAACTTTGCCAACATAAAAATTTCTTTTCCAAAAAGCAGTTCGCCGTCGGACAGCCAAAACCGTCCGGATCTCTACGCCGAATCGGATTAAATATGTTGTCATGCTGAGTAACAACAGGAGGCAACAGAATGTTAAAAAATCCTAAAATAAACGATCAGATTGCATGAAAGTTGTTATGAACTGCTGTGTCTCATTGGTCTGGCTTAGGAACACAATTGAGAAATTGTTTTGTGTATTTAAACTGATTTAGCTAGGATCTACTAAAAAAATCCCGTAATTTTGGATTCAATTCCCGCCAAAAAAAGATGAGATTGTATGAAAGTTGTTAAAAATTGCTGTGTCTCAGTAGCGTGGCTTAGTAACACAATTGAGAAATTGTTTTGTGTATTTAGACTAATTTTGCTAGGAGCTATTAAAATAAATCCCTAAATTTTGGAATAATATCCTAATAAAAAAGATCAGATTGTATGAAATGTGTTATAAACTGCTGTTTCTTGTAAATGTGGTTTAGTAACACAAGTCCGAAGTAATTTAGAGCCATTTAGCAAATAATTCTGGAAGCTTTTAATTTTTTTTGTACTCGTTTACGAAGGACTACAAATTTGTTGATAGTCCCTAAGCGAACCACCGTTCCCTATAGCGAGTCCTCGGATCTCCGCTAACCGCTGCCTGTCTGCCGCAGTGCGCGGCATGAAGACTTGTCGCTGACCGTGTAAACATCCAACTTGAAGCTGACTTCACTGCGGTCAGGTCCAGAGCTGGCAGTGAGACAGCTGCAAGGCAACTGCCATTAAATGATTGTTTTAAGTTGTGCAGGATCCTGCTTTCCTTTCAAACCAACATGGTGTGATGTCGGAGTCGGGGAGGGACGTTAAATCAGAAACTTTGGGCTTTCCTGATGTTTTCTTTTTCCATCTTTGTTCATTTTTTACACGTAAACATTCTGTTGCCTCCTGTTGTTACTCAGCATGACAACATATTTAATCTGATTCGGCCTAAAGATCCGGACGGTTTTGGCTGTCAGCTAACCATCCATGGACGTAATTTTTTGGGGGGGACAGGGGGGACATGTCCCCCCCCCCACACACACACACACACACTTTTTCCAAAGTCACGTTTGGACCCCTGTACTTTTTACCATCCAAAAACAATATTACGGTATATTAAATTGACACTGGTTGAGCTCTAGGACCAAGCAGAAAACAACCATTTGTGTTGAAGCCTGTTTCCCATTAGAACATACTGTAAAGACCCCCCCCCCCCCCTCCCCTTTCTAAAGTGAAAATTACATCCATGTACCCATCGTTACGATGCGTGTGTGAGAACGTCTACTCCCTCTGGTCCAGATGACCAGTGGTCATATGGTTTGCAGACTATCAACACACGTGTGTGACTATCAACACACACACGACAGCTGTGTTTCTCCTTTTCTCTTGTGCACCTTTAGTTACACATCAAAGAGCCTACCTTTACAGGTAAGACTGAACCGGGTCTGATCCGGCCAGAATGAACTGAGTCACCGCAGCAGATGTCTTCAGTGTGACAACTCTTGAGCATGAGTAAGAGGAAGTGACCATAAATAAAACCAATGTGCAAGCAGTGAGATAAGTTCCTCTCAGGCAGCATCAGGCCTGCTGAGGTGGAGCTCAGCTGGTCACAGTGGTTCTGGTCCCTATGACGAAATGGCTTTAGTTAACCCTGTTAATGCCTCTGATCCATCCATGGCTGCAAACATTACCCACACTGCAGAACCGAGTCTTCTGATCCTTTTATTTTTACTCACGTTCACGTTAACAGAAACGTCTCTTAGTTCTGTTGTTCTGCTATGGTGGGCTCAGTCTAGCTCCTCATCCTCACCCCACAGCCTTCTGAGGCCGGTGGCAAAGTCTAAGTGTCATATTTACAAAGACACTTTGAATCAAAGAGAAAGAGTTGGTCTGAACCAGGGGTTAGATAACTGTCATAAGGCTTTTGCCAGTGGGCCGCTCATTTGCACATTCTCCGTCTCTTGTAAGCGTGTAATTCAGAGACGCGTTTGCCTTCCAAGTGAAGCCGACACAACTTTGCTGTAGTTTAGAGTGGGTGTCTTTATTTTCGTTCTTTATTTAAGTCGCAGCTATTAAACAAATACATTTCTAAGAGGCATGTGGGCAATGGGCCGATGCAAAATGACTGATGGGCCAGTTCTGGTGTTGAGCAGCTCTGCTCTCACTTCTTGTCTGGAAGGTTTTCTTTATTCTAGTGAAGGTCTGGTTGTGTGACAGTCTGTGGACCTGAGTGGTGCTCTGAACCTGGAGGTTTGAAGCATGTTCTGACAACCTGAAGCTTGGGGTTGACCCTGCCTGTCAAAGGGCCAAAGGTCAGGCTGGCGAAGGTGTTCCCACTCTGGCTCCAGTACCAGACACCTTCTCTGACTGGGAAGCAGAACAGCAGTGTGGGTCTATAAGTTGTCCTAAAGGGAAGGGCCACATGGGGCCTCAGGCCTGCAAAAACAGGAGGTCTGCTTATTAATCATGTGACCTACTTAGAATAAACCATCAGGCTATGACTGAGGCCTAGTCCACACGTAGCCGGGGTTTTTAAAAAACGAATATCCGCCCCTCCAAAAACTTGCATCCACACCACCGCGTTTTAAAAAAAACTCTGTCCACACGTACCCGGATAAATACGTTGTTAAGGACATGCCAGACCTTTAGGCGGCAGTACTTCCCCCGTTCTTAACCTCGTCCTTCGTCTGTGGTCTTCCGCAAGGAGCAGTAATTCCGCTTGCAAAAACAAACAAGCAGAAAGCGCTTGGACGATTGATGGATCGGGTAGTGACAGAGCGCAGCTCTGAGGGCTTCCATGATAAACACAGGTCGCACACGTGATGTCAGCATTTTTTGTCGCAGAAAGTGACGTTGCGGACCTTAAAACTCCGGTTTTGTCCGTCCACACACAGACACCCAAAACGGAGAAAACGCAGATCTTCACTTTGGCCGGAGTTTTTAAAAAGATCTGTTTTCGTGTGAAAAAACTCCGTTTTCGTGTGGACGACAGGCCAAAACGTAGAAAAATATCTACGTTTTGGCAGATCCCCGGCTACGTGTGGACAGGGCCTGAGTCAATTTGTGACATTTAAAACTTTTCAAGTATTGATTGAGGTCATTTTGCATCACATGAAAATGTACTTACAGCTGAAACTGGAAAAGTAAAAATCTGCTGCAAAAGTTAATTCATGTCAGTAATTCAACATAAAAGTGAAATCAATTCTGAGATCAGACATACATACATAGACACATGACAAGAATTGGTGACTGTGGTCATTCGCAACCCGAGTCGCGCTACCTTAATAGAGATCAGAGGGTTTACATGAGGATTGAGTCACGGGGAGGAACAAAAAAGGCACTTCAGAGTTACCCTCCACAGAGAGGGCAGCTTTGCTATGCAAAAAACACCTCAGACAGAAATGCAACAGACTTCAGACATTACACAACACTAGGTGGGGAGGTAGGGTTGGGGACTCTCCTCACATCAGTGTATGCAGCCGCAATGAGCATGGACGTAATTTTGGGGGGGGACAGGGGGGACATGTCCCCCCCCCCCCACTTTTCCAAAGTCAAGCTTTGACCCCTGCACTTTTTACCATCCAAAAACAATATTACGCTATTTTAAATTGACACTGGTTGAGCTCTAGGACCAAGCAGAAAACAACCATATGTGTTGAATCCTGTTTCCCATTAGAACATACTGTAAAGATTCCCCCCCCCCCCCCCCCCCCCCCGTGTCCCCCCCACTTCTAAAGTGAAAATTACGTCCATGCTCGTCACCTCCGTTTGGACAGGGGAGGGAGGTAGTTGGGTTTAGAAAGCACAGTGACTCCTGGAAATGGTTCCACGGCCTTCACTGCTCTCAGTTCCGCCCAGGCTGGGATAGGGAGACAGAGTTGCCATGGCAATGGCAGCATTCCACATTTCTTCTGAGGGGGGAGTAATCACTTCAGCCTCACTGGCTCAAGGGCACCAGATTCAGATAAGAATTGTTTGGGGGCCAGACAGAGATAATTTCCTCTCTGTCTTAAAGTTTTGTTGGTCTCCAACCCCTCTGAATCCAATAATGGCGTAGTTAATCAACCCCAACCGTGCTGTCCCGTCAACTCTCTTTGATCGAATCCACCTTCTGTGCCAGAGCCTGAATCTCAGCCAAAGTTCCAAGCTTACGACTCATCTCAACAATTATGAGTTTGTGGGTTCACAGTGCGGTGTAATCCATCCCTGAGCTCCAAGATTGTGACAATATTTTTCAAAAGCTCGTTAATTTTCCGGTAAGGTAGCTGCTCAGGACAAACAGCAGGAATCCCGACACCAAAACCACGAATATCCAGACATCTTCAGAATCCTCTACAGACAGTTGAGAGAGGCAGATCAGGTTCCACTGTTTCCAGGAGTCCATGATATACCCAGCTGGCTCTGTCCCAGAGGGGCGT